AATTTCATAAAAGTGAATTGTTTTGCTTTGGCGAGGCTCAAGATGAGGCTCACCTGTATGTCGAACTGTTCGGATGCGGGTTGGGCCAGTTTCCGGTCACATATTTGGGGATACCGATACATTATCGGAGGCTCACAAATGTTGAATGGAAACACGTCGAGAAGAGACTGCAAAGAAGACTTAGCAGTTGGAAATGTAAACTGCTATCTAAAGGCAGAAGATTGGTCCTCATGAATTCAGTACTAAGTAATATGGTACTATATATGATTTCCTTCTTCCAGTTGCCAAAAGGAGTTTTACATAGATTGGATTATTTCCGATCAAGATTCTTTTGGCAAGGAGATTGCGAGAGAAAGAAATATCGACTGGCTAAATGGGATGTGGTTTGTCGCCCCAAAGACCAAGGCGGGTTGGACATTCATGACCTTGAGGTTAAGAGTAGGGCCTACTCAGTAAATGGTTGTTTAAATTATTAACGGAAGACGGGGTATGGCAAACCCTCCTCGGGAGGAAATATGTGGGCTCCAAGGCGGTATCACAAGTATACTGGAAGCTTGGGAATTCTCACTTTTGGGCAGGTCTAATGGCTACAAAGAAATATTTCTCCTCCTATGGATGTTTCTCAATTAAGGACGGCTTGAAAATTAGATTTTGGGAGGATAAGTGGCTACGAAATGCCACTCTCCGGGAACAATATCCGGCTCTGTACAATATTGTGTGTCACAAGGGTGATACTGGCTATAGCCACGGTAATGGAATCATTTCCGCCAAATGTGATGTTCAGAAGGGATTTAATTGGACCCTGACTCCAATCATGGAACATCCTACTCGAGCGGTTTTCCATGGTGCATTTGTCACATGGGTCTGATGTATTCCGATGGAACCTACATGGGAACATACAGTTCTCAGTGAAGTCTATGTATAGAGCATTAATCCAGTCTGATGTGCGAGTTCATAATAACAAGAAGATCTGGAAGATGAAGATACCGCTTAAGAATAAAATTTTGCATGGTATCTTCGTCGCAGAGTCATTCTTACTAAAGATAACCTTATTAAGAGGAATTGGCATGGAATTCTGCAATGCATCTTTTGTCACCATGATGCGACAATAAAGCACTTATTCTTCGAATGCAAATTGGCTCGTTCTATATGATCAGTCATCCAAATAGCTTTTGGCTTGTATCTTCATTGTAGTGTTGCTAATGTATTTGGCAATTGGCTACATGGGATTGATCACAGGTTTAGAACTCTTCTTAGGGTGGGAGCGCTTGCCGTTATTTGGTCGTTTTGTCTATGTAGAAATGATAAGGTTTTTATCGATAAAAGTACTTCTCTTATGCAGGTTATCTACAGATGTACCAGGACTCTTCATTTATGATCCTCTCTACAACGAGTGGAGAATCGATACCTGTTTACAAAGGTCTGTACACGATTGGAGGCTGAGGCGAGGGATACTTTTGCCTAACATGAGTGGCAGCTTGATCTTAGGACTGCCCCCCTCCGCTTTAGGTGTTATACGAATTACGTTTCTTTGTATTTTGCCTTTTTATTTTCATTTGTATGAGAGAACGTTGTTTGGCCGTGTGCATCTTAGGTATGCAGAGGCCGGGTGTAATGCTTAAATCTTTTAAGTAATAAAGCGCCCCTTTTCAAAAAAAGAACGGGTAGGGATCTTGGAACCTGAGTTTTTTCTTTTCCTCAGTTTTCCACTAGTTCTTGTCTTTCTTCTTCCAGATTTTCCGCTGATTTTCTTTTTTATTTCTCTTATTAGTTTTATTTCGTTCATTTTTTTGTTCATCTTTTTCCATTCTATATTTTCTCTGCATGAACTATTTTCAAGCATGTGATGAATTAACAAATACTCCCTCTAGTCTATAATATAAGATATTATTATATCTAATATGTGAGAATATTGAATGTAATAACGTATTATATTATGGGACATAGGGAGTACATGATGAATTGTTTTATATAAACACATGAGGATTATTTTACAAATACTCGATAATCATTGAGTTTGTAGACTACACTTTGCTACAACTAGACCAGGTTGTTATTGTTTTTTAGACCCTATGGCGGCAACATTGCATACTATTTTTTCTTTTTCCTGAAATGTGGCAAACTAATTCATCACATATTGAATAGAACAAGTCCTGGCTAGAAGCATCCAAAGCATGACTGTACACTAACCAAATAAACTAACAACAGTAACACTAAAGATGATTCGTGTGGAGGAATAGTAAAAATGATGTACCCTAAGGTGTGTCCCAATCTTTCAATGATAACACAGTGCTTCCAACATGCGTAGTAGAAGGTCTTGCTTACACTCGCTCCTATAGTTAAAAGTAGGCACAAATGAAACTCAATCGAACAAAACCCCAAAAGCTACTCCCTCCGTCCCATAATGTAAGACGCTTTTTGACACTACACTAGTGTCAAAAAGCGTCTTACATTATGAGACGGAGGGAGTACAAGATAATCCTGGGAGTAGTGGCCATGGACAGTTTTTAAGACCAGGTATCGTGTAAATATTCTACACGTGCTATTTTGGTAATCTCTATCTTCTTGGACGTTTTTTTTAGAGAAATGGGACTTTGATTTGCCTCAAGACGCTGTAAAGTTACAAAACATGGACCCAGTCTAGACTCATCCAATTCAACCTTAGTTACCACACCAACCAAACGGGATAGAATCAGGCCGTCCTATATGGCCTCCGCCTCGTCGGTGGCGAGGTGAGGCCGGGTACAAGTGCAAGAAAACAACCTACAGTGTTAAGATCTAGCACCGAAGCAGAGTACAGGTCCCTTAAGAATGCAACAACAGAAGTAATCTGGGTTCAGTCGTTGTTGCAAGAGCTTGGTATTATTGAACCCAAAGCAGCAACATTATGGTGATAATTTTGGTACCATTTATCTGTCAGCCAATCATGTGTTTCATGCAGGTACTGAGCATATTGAAGTGTATTACCACGTTGTCAGTGAAAGAGTAGCAAACAAGTTGCTCAACATTCGTTGTATACCTACAAGAGATCAAGTTGTAGGTTTACAAAACCATTGACAGTACGACAGTAAGAAGCATTTAGGCGCAATCTCAACTTAGATAAGTTCTGATTGAGAGGGGATATTGAAATACTTTTTATAGTTTGTTATTCCATAGCATGTGTGGTTGTTGTAATCCCGGTGATTGGCTTGACGATTGGTCCCAGCTGCAAACTCTTCAGCCTAGCTTTTACAGGCATGGGTACTAAATCTCTCCGTTGGTCCAAGCCTCCAACTAGGCCATTCCAAAATCCACCGCTGCTCTTCAGAGTGTTTAGTTAATGTCTCCTGCCTGCTTGCGTCGGCTTTGCCCATCCTGTGTATCACCGTGCCTAGGTAGTAGCCTAGTAGGTACACATGCTGAATCCTACTCCCTCCATTCCAATCAACAAGATGTGCACGCATACCAAATTCAACTTTGGCCATAGATTAGACCAACAAAATATGGATAATATATGATCAAATTATACCGTTGAATTTGTTTTAAAAAGAAGTTTTCAGTGGTATAATTTTAAAGTCGAAAGTATATATATATTTGACTTAATTTAAGATCAAAGTTGAATTTGGGAAAGCGTGCATGCCTTGCCTTATTCATTGGAATCGGGGGAGTATGACATAAGATCACCATAGTCTGAACGGCATGTCAATCTTGCCGCCACCACCGTTCAACTTGACCGAGTTCGACGAAATTAGATTAGTTGTGAGGTTTGGTGAATGATATGTTTGTGAACTATATTGTTCCGGCACGACAAGTTCTATGACTAAGAACACAATTTGTCAGGCCACATTACATCTGCTAAATTTAGGAAGATCATATCCCATATTGTGAGTTTTGTAAAGCAATAATTATATTTTAACTAGACCATCATACCCTCTCGTCCGAAGAGGCACATCTTAATCTCAAGCGTTGATTTTATTAGAGGGGGTGTACTGAAGTGGAACCCAAAGTTATATTATCCCAAATAAAAACTCCACCTACATAGCAATACTTTAAAGATCAGTTCTTTGAACAGTAAAAACGAACATTATCGGCATGCTAAAATTATTGGCAGCTATCTTTCCTTTTGGGGTATGCTCTGCTGGCTCCAACATTGCCGCAATGGCAGCCCCAGTTTTCCTCTTCGGTCTTCACACTCCCCTCTCTTCTATTATTTCACCCTCCCCTACTTAATTTCCTATTAGCTAGGTGGGACCCTTGTGTGACCTAATTAACTTAGATTAATTACCTATTAACTTAACACTATCCCAATCAGCCTCTATCAGGTGGGCCACCCCTCCAAATAATTTGTTAAGCTAGTTACAAAAAAAAATCAAAGCACCAAACATGGGCCCATGTGACTTTCAGGCCGGGTCCCACTTGTCATCCACTATGAGCTTGTCCCACATGTAGGTCACATATGGAGAGTCTTTTTTTCCAACGATAGACCCACATGTCAGTGGCAATGCACACATGGGCAACTATGTCCAGAAAACATCTAGAAGATGGTCAAACCTGTTTGACCGGATGGAAATGGCGCGGCGGGGTATTTCCATAACGCCATCTAACGGAAGAGGGATATAGTTGAGCATCGTTTTTAATCAGGGGGTAAAAATGAGGTCGGGCCAAAGTTAGGGGGGAAATGGAACTGGCCTTCTGTTAAAACAAACTTGCAAGTGAGAAACGAGGCCTGGAAGCTGATGACTTGGGTGCTGTTGCGTTTAATGTGACAGTCCGATGCCGTAGGGCACGTAGTGTGCTACTATTGTCGTGCCGAGCACCACACTGTTTGCAGTCGTGCCAACACCCACTGCGGCCAGCTGGACAAGGTGGTTGGCGCCGCCAAGGTGCCATGCCCCTACAAAGGCGTTCGGCTGCAAGCGCTACGTGGTGTTCCATGAGGCCGCGGACCATCGGCGCGCGTGTGCCAGTGCGCACCCTGCACCTGCCCGGAGTATGCATGTGCCTTCGTGGGCTCCCGTGCAATGCTGGTCGACCACTTCGCCGCCGATCACCAGCGCCCCGCCGTCACGGTCCGTTACGGCCGGTCTTGGAGACTGAGCTTCTCCCTGTCACACGGCTGGCACCTGCTCGTCGAGGAGGAGGACTGCAACGTGTTCCTCGTCTCCCTCCGCCCGCTCGGTGAGGGCACCGCCGTGTCATTGATGTGCATCAGGCCGGACGGCGAGGCCGAGACAGGGCCCCGGTTCTGGTGCAAGCTCTCCATGGAGCGCCGTGGCGGCGACAAAGACTACAACCTAGTCCTCATGACCTCGCCAGTGAGCAGCAACGCGCTGTCCACGGGCGCATCGGGGTCGGGCCAGGTAATGTTCTTGGTGGCGCCCCAGGAGCTGCCCTTCGGCGACACGATCACACTCAGTGCCCGGATCGATTTGATCCCACCTGCCGCCGTCGGTCCCAAATCAACTACACCACAGGCTAGGGCGCCGAGGAGGATGCATGAAGTATGTGTTTGATCTCGTTCATGTTATCCATATTTCTTTTGCGGAAATGTTATCCATATTTAATATATGATTAGTGCATGCTAAGCTAGATGATTAGTATGAATGTATGGTTAGAAACTAGCAAACCTACTAGACCATGGACACACGCTGCAAGTCCAAACCACACATGTACTAGCCAATCGACCTAACCAATCAAGATTATGGTAACAAGTTCAGCAGTAAACTAGTAATGCAGCTAAGCAGGGAAGGATTGCTACATGGTATGGATGATTAATATGAATATACCTGGCATATGACTGTTAAGCTGTTTAGGCAATATCAGTACTAGATCAGTTTGACTTGGTAGCAATGCAGGTAAGCAATGGTAGCAGTAATATGTAGTTAAGAAAGGGTAGGAATGCTTCACCCTTTGTTCTGAACAAATGGCCTAAATAGTAGTAATGCGGCTACTGGTTTGTATTCGATCCGAGTGAAGTGCAACCAATTGAAATCTGAAGATCCTGCACCAGGATTTATTCTTTTCTTTATAACCTACAGCCGAGTATGTATGGCAAATTATTCATTTTGTGAATCGTATTGTTCATGTTCAGATTGTTCACTGTTTTGTTCATATGAAAGGAGCTTCCGTAAATCATTTTTTTTAGAATTCCATGAGTAAGATGCATGTGAATGTATCCTTCTGAAAAACTAACATCATTTTTCATTTTTGTATCTGAGATCATTTTTTTTCTGTGAGCAGGCTGGACCCGATGCTCAAAGAACCCTAAAATTCAAACCGAAGGTGATAATGTGGACAAAGTCACATTTCAAAGAGTCTTCAGAGACGGGCCAAGTTGTATGTTATTGTGTATCAAACTGGGGACAGAGGATCATCCTTCTTTCAAAGTTTGTATTCATGGTTCACATAAATCGTGGTACGTTTTGATGTAAACTTTTTGGTACTCGGTGACTTTAATCTGTTATGTTTAATAAAATGGTTGTGTGCATCACACGATGCAGAGACCAGGGTCATCCCCTTTTCGAAAAAGAAAATGATCAACAACATTTGTGTCCAGCATAGCGTAAGATATAAGCTTCGACTTTGGTTGTAAATTCATCTGCGAACACAAGTAAAACCTTAATACCATAACTTCACGAGATACCCAAGTTGTCCAGGACAAAAGGAAAAATATTCCTGAGATAGACGGTGCAGCGCTAGCAGCGTCACACATACAAATTTTGTTCACTAAAAATGCGACAACAGTGGTTTATAAGGACACAGGAGGCAAACTAGACCAACAACATCAAAATAGTTTCATGGGGGATCATATCCAGTGACCAGTTGACAACCTAGCTTAGTTTGCGACGCCAACCGATAGGCTTTTTTGAAGATTCGTTATTGCTTGTTGAGGCAGTTGATTCTTCTGCTGGCTCGATGCTACGGGGCCTCTTGCGCTCGACTGCAAGCTCTACAACAACTTTTTACTACCTTTACGAGTCTGGTCGAGCCTAGGACTTCTCCTAGGTGTTTCGGTATGGTAGTTCTTCCTCTTCGTAGGACGTCTCCCGTACTTCCTTAGCGGCATTCCATTATCTCTTTTAAATGTGAGAGCCTTCGGAGTCATCAAAGTGGGACCTGTAGTGATATCAACTTATCTCTATCATGCTGTCTTTGTTAATTCACAATAGGGATTGATGATGCAATAATTGGTTGATATGCAAAATTTTCATGATGATCACACAACTTAACAAAGAATGTGATAGAGAAGAGAGTAATTACTTGGGAATGGTAGTGTTGTTGTTGGCGAATTCTGTGTTGCAGTGATATCAACAGGACCCTTTTCCGCAACCGAGGATGGTGTTGCAGTGGTACCTGTCATAGTATTTCTGGACTGAGTAGAGGGCCCTTTTTCAATCTGGTCTGGCTGTAATGAAGGTGGATGAGCCATCGAAGTGGGGCCTGCAGCAATGTATCAACTTCTTATCTCTATCATGGTGCCATTGTTAATTGAAAACAGCGATTGATGTTGCAATGGTGGTTTAATATGTACTATTTTCAACACACAACTTAACAGAAAATGGGATAGAGAAGAATGTAATTACTTGGGAATGGTACTGCCATTGTAGTGCAATTCTGCATCGTAGTTGTATCAAGAGGCCCATTCTCCTTCAACGTGGACAATGTAGTAGCTTGCATAGTATTTCCATACTCGGCAGCTTCTTGCATTCCATCACCAGCACCTTCGACAATGCATAGGAGTACCAATCAGCACCCACTCAGCTGTCTCGGGCGGCAAAGCTTTCAATTAGTGAGACTCCCAAAAAACACAGCACAAATTTGACCGACCATTAATATCTTTTATACTAGTACTACTTTTTATGTTCCCAATACATCTACTACATGCAGCTATTTCAAAATTCAAGCTTGACAAAGAAGTTAACTTTTTTTGGCGGTGAGACAAGCAGTTAAGTTAATTGTTAGTCAAACATTACTTTTAGAATATTTGTCATCTTTTAGCCCCAAATCCGTCGTGGAGCAATGCAAGCATTACAAAGGGGTCTGCCCGATCATACTACCCTTCTTGTTGACTCCGGCGCGACTCACGTTGGCAACAAAAGCCGTTCAAACTATTGTGGTTTAAAAAAAACTATCAGACTGGTCATAGTGGGAAGTAACTTAGATTAATATCATAGTAACATAGATTAGTATCATAGATTAGTATCATAGATTCTATGTTACTATCTCTATAGTGCATAGTAACATAGATTAGTATCATAGATGGTCTCATTTATTGCCATGCATGACACATGGTAGCATCACATTTATTATTTTATGGTATCTACCTATGTTACTATAATCATCTCTCTCTTCTTTAATTGTCTGCCACATAAGCATGTTTGCGAGTCCCAAGTGCATGATACTACTTAGGCTGGTTGTAATGTTAGTATCATACCTAGTATCATGCATGCCAACGAGGAATTTTTGATGATGTGTCATAGAATTAAATGAAGAAAGAGAGAGTTGAGTATCATAATATCATTATACCGTATCATAATAAAGGTTGTGCTACTATGTGTCATGCATGACAATAAATAAAGTACTACATGATACTAATATATGATAGTATGCATTAGGGAGGTAGTATCATATACTAGTATCATATGCATGATACTAGTATATGATACTCTCCATTACAACCAGCCTTATGTTATTCCCACTATGGCCAGCCTCATGGTTTGAAAGGGAGGACTTCCTAGAATTGGTAGCCAAGGAGTGGGGTAAAGAAAACCGAGGAGGAGTCTAATGTCGAAAAGTGGCAGTATAAGATCTGGCATTTAAGAAAAAAATTGCAGGGTTGGGCTAAAAATGCTAGTGGGATTTATAAAGTGGAAAAGAAAAGACCTTTCAATCTCATCAACGAGTTTGATATAAAAGATTAAACAAATCCTTAAAGAAAAGGAGATAGAAGCGGCACTAAGAGCTAAGGTACGATAAGTAGTACAAAGGGATAATAATACTTAGTTTCTCCATCCGATTGCCTATGAAAAACACAGGAAAAAATTGTCTAACTTGAACAAGATGAGGGTACAATAGTAGGTCCAAGAACCTTAAATTGTATATATTGAATTTCTATTATGAAAAGCTCTTTGGGGCTTCGGTAGAGAATTTTGTGTTTTTAGATGAGGGGCCAATGGAGGATATCCCACAGCTTTGTGCGAAGAAGAATGAGGTGCACAATACTCCTTTTATGAAAAAGGAGGTGTTTGAGGATATCACACAAATGAAGAATAATAAGGCGCCATGTTGGAAGTGTTGGGGGATTATTAAGGGTGACTTGATGCCCATGATGCATGATCTTTTTAATGGCCAGCTTTAGCTTAACTTTTGGACTATTACATTGCTACCTAAGAAGGATGTAGCAGTTTGCATTGAGCATTTCAGACCGATTTGTTTGATCAAAGTTAGCTTTAAGATTTCTACCTAAGTGGGAACTAATGATCTCACACAGGTTGCACATTCTATGGTTTAGCCGACTCAGACTGCTTTCAAGCATGGGCAATACATTCTAAAGGGTGTTGTGGTTCAACATGAAACCTTACACCAAATTCATTTCAAAAAAACTGGATCGAGTTGTTTTCAGAATGGATTTTAAGAAGGCTTGCTAATAAAGTTAAGTGGCCATTTCTACAACAGGATTTGCGTAGGAAGGGTTTCAACTCGGCCTAGAGGAAGCAGGTCGAGTCCTTCATACAAGGAGGCAGTGTCGGGGTCAAGGTAAATGAGAATGCAAGTCGTGATTTCCAGACATAAAAGGGATTGCATCAGGGTGATCCGATGTCTCTTACTCTGTTCAATATTGTTGCAAGGCAATCCTAATTGGTAGAGCCAAAGAGGACGATCTAGTAGGGGGGCTCATCCCACTTCTCGTGGACGGGAGTGTCTCCATCCTACACTATGATGATGATACTATAATTTTCATGGAGCATGATATGTCCAAAGCGAGAAATACGAAGCTATTTTTATGTCTCTTTGAACAACTGTCCGGGCTGAAAATAAAATTCCATAAATGTGAACTGTTTTGCTTTGGATGGGATAAGGAGGAACATGAAAACTACATACAGTTGTTTGCCTGTGAGATTGGATCCCTCCATTTAATTATCTTGGGATTCCAATTCATGACATAAAGATAACAAATAAAGAATAAAAATGTATTGAAGATTGTTTTAAGAAAAAACTAAGTTGTTGGAAGGGAAAACTTATATCTTATGGGGTATGCTCATACTTATCAGCTATATATGTGCTTATGAGCATATCGATGTTCATGTTATCTTTCTTTGAAATACCCTTAAGGTACGGAAAAGATTGGACTTCTATAGGTTGTGGTTCTTTTGACGAAGTGACGAGAATAAAGTAAAATACAGTCTAGTTAAGTGGGACATATTGTGTAGGCCAAAAGACCAAGGAGGTTTGGGGATTGAAAATGTAGAAGTGGAAGATAAGTGCCTACTTAGTAAATGGTTTTATCGGTGATCCTCTAGGGAGAAGGGGGTGTGGCTATAGTTATGGTTTAAAAGATATCGACACTCCAAAACTTTAGTGCAAGTAATGGCACAGCCGAATGATTCCCCCGTTTGGAAGGGTTTGATGACAACTAAGATAACAATCTTCAACAATGGTAAAATTATTACTAGGAATGGGCACACAACTAGATTTTTTTAAGGATACTTGATTTGGGGAGATGCCTCTAGATCTGCATTATCAAATGCTTTATAATATTGTGCAGTGTAAAGACGCATATTTGTGAGTACAATATTACATTCGGTTCCCTTAAATATACAATTCAGGCGGGCACTGGTTGGGAAATGATGGATCGATGGTTGCAAGTTTGTAGGTTGATAGAGGGTCAACTCTAATGAGCCAGATGTATTCCGACGGTCCCTTTCTGATACGGGCATGCTTTCTGTTAAATCTTTGTATGTGAACTTGCTTAGTAATGGACCAATCCGGTCTATCCATATATGGAAAACAAAGGTTCCTTTAAAAAACAAGATTTTTATGTGGCTTGTGATACCAACGAAGTACAACTTGGTAAAACATACTCCCTCCGTTCGGATTTATTAGGCCTAAAGACAACTTCTCTTAGATCAAGACACATAGTAATTTGTTCACATTAATTCTTCTACTCCACTCCCAATGCACTCTCTCACCTGCATGCAACCAATGAAAAAGCATGCATGAAGTGTATTATTTTCCAGTCATGGCACCAACAACAATGACTTTCAATGCAACCAATAAAATAGTTGCATGCATACACCTTTCCAAAGCGGGGCCTTATAAAAGGGGACATGCTTGTGATGCTGAGAGGCCTAATAAACCCGGACGGAGGGAGTAGGTGAGAGGGGAGTAAACGGTGTTGTGCTTATGACCACAAGGAAACGATTCAACATTTATTTCTCGAATGCCAACTAGCCAAGCTATTGTGGCAAAAAAATACATGTGTCCTTTAATGTACCTCCAACTAATAGTATTCCCAATCTGTTTGGTAACTGGTTAGGTGGGGTTGAGCCTAATATAGCCGCACAAATTCGCATGGAAGTTTGTGCATTACTTTGGGCTATCTAGAATTTTCCGAATGATTGTGTGTTTAACAAAATACATGCATGTGTCCTTTGGGTCATCTATTTTGGAACGGAGGGAGTACTTTTTCCAGATTATCTACCAACATGTGGATGAATCCGTATGTGATCATTACTATACCATGCGAAAACGAAAGAGCTTATGGCCTTTGGGTGCAACCTATGAGAGACAGTAACACGGACTACATACAAACAGTGTGGATTGCGGTGTAACTATAGGGTAGGTGTTTATGCATGGTGTCCTATTTTCGCGGGTGTGGCTGTCTGTTTACTTTCTTGATCTTGATTAGCTACTGGAGATATTAATTGTACTCCTACTTAGATACTCATTTCATTTTAATAAATGATCGTGTGCATTGCTGGATGCAGAGGCCGGGGTAATCTTTCAACATATGATGGGTTAACCAAAGTATGGATATACATACTACAAAACTAAGGGACTTTATGATTGGTAAGATACCCAATATACTGGAAGAAAAAAACATAGAAAGTTGGGCGATGACATTTTTTGCATTGAAATGATCTCTTCGAAGTGTATATCTTGTATATGCCTCCAGATTTCCATTCATATGTTCATATCAACAACAACTTGAAAAAATAAGAAGATTTACACTTACATATTTTACGTTTATTAGTGATTAGTATGAAGCTTGAATTTATTATTATAGAAAATATCTGAGAATATTAAGTTTAAATTTAAGAAAATATTGGTGTGAAATAAATTCATCAGTGGTTTGGCAATGATGAGCATAGTTAATTATTCAACAACTGATGGCCATATGATGTTGCAACGTCATCTATAGCAAAACCTATAGCCGGCAAGTATAATACTTAGATATAAATATGTAGTACTTATTTATATATATACATGACCCACCTTACTCTTTCACAAAATCTCTATGAGCACATGTTGAAGCAGGCTGTTAATCTGTAGCCCGCTTCTCTTATCTCTTCTCCAACTCATCAATCCGTTTATTTTTATTCTGCATATAAATTTTGTTTGAAGTCAAACTACATAAAGTTTGACCAAATTTATGTTAAAAGATATTAACATTTAGTTATATAGTATGAAAAATAATTTCATGACACATCTCATGATATTGATCTCATAGTGTTAATGTTGATATTTTTTTCTTATATAGTTGGTCAAAATTTACAAACTTTAACTTCAAACAAATTTTATATGCAGACTAAAAAGAAAAGAAGGAAGTATATTGTGTGTAGTTTTGTAATCCACCTACTTCACCTTATTATATTTGCTTTTATGTCTAGGTGCACTAGACGCACCTACCTCGAATTCTGCTATCTTGGACGGGTTGATGTGCCCTTCGCCGACTTCGTCTGGAATAGCTTTGTCTCCTTGAAGGTTTGATTCTTTGGATATTCTTGCAATCCAGGCCCATTATGCCCCATTGAGAAAGATATTATATTTGACGAATTTGTGTTTGCTCACGGACCCAACACAACCTCCAAAAAATTATAAAGCATGCTCCATATGGCTTTTGGTGAGTCTGCTAGATTTGCTCTAATTTTGATCGCCTATTTCACCCAAAAATTATAAATTACATGACACATAAAATGTATATACTACAATGTTGAATATGAATCTAATGGTTTATTATTTTAGTATAAAACTCATATTTTGTTGATCACAAAGATGGACTCAGAGTACGAGGCAGCCTTGCATTTGAAGTCAATCCTCACAAAGTGTGCTGTGATCAGAAGAGTATGCATGCATGATAGTACTAGGCGAGTTAATGCCTATCACGCGGGTGGCTGATGGGCGCATAGTAGTAATTGTGTGGAGCAAGTCCCCACGAAGTGCTTTGTGCTGTTTTCACACGCCACATCGTTTACCCCTTTGGCTTCTACTAGTACTGCGTGCATAAGTTGAGCTGTGTTGCATTTTCTGCTTGGCCTTCCACCTTGCCAGCGATGGAGAACGCCGGCGAGCCGAGCAACAAGAAATCGAGGTTGCAGGAGGAGGAGCCCATGGCGGTGAAGCAGGAAGGGCTAGAGAGGAGGCAGAGCCAAGGCGGCGAAGGTGCGCTGTTGGCGGTGGAGGACGAAGCCATGCAGGTTCCATGGGTGGCCGCGGAGGTGAACCCGCTCTTCTATCTCTGCTTTGCATGCCAACTCCCACTCAGGCCTCCTGTGCACCAGGTAATTCTTCTCGATCACTATCACTGTCATGAAATAGTAGCTTAATTTGTGAGTGATTGCGTGCAGTGCGAGGGCGGCCACAGGGTGTGCGGCAGGTGCCATGGCGACCGCTGCACGTCGTGCGACCCGCCGACGGCCTACATTCCCTTCCCCTTCATGGACGACGCGCTGCGCGCCGTGCAGCTGCCGTGCTGCTACAAGGCGGACGGCTGCGGGAGGAAGCTGATGTACCACGAGGCCGCCGACCACGCGCTGCAGTGCGCCTTCGCGCCCTGCCACTGCCCGGGGCACGGCTGCAGCATGTGGGCCTCCCCGCCGGCCCTCCTCGACCACATCGCCGCCGCCCACTCCTGGCCCGTCACGGAGGTCAGCTACGGGACCCCGTTCAGGATCGCCGTGCCGCCTCCGTGGCGCGGCGGCGGCACGCACCTCCTCGTCGAGCGGAACGACCCGCGCCTGTTCCTCGTCACCCTGTCCGAGTTCGGCGAGGCCACCGCTGTGTCGGTGGTGTGCGTGCGGGAGGGCACGGCGGCGGCGGCGCCCCGCTTCAGGTCCACGGTCTGGGCTGAGGTTGCCAGCAACACGGAGGAGAATTTGTTTCGTCGTCTGTCCACGGTGCCGAGCAGCAGCAGCGGCAATCTTCCCGGTGAAAGGCCGCCGGTGTGCCTGCTGGTGCCACCGGACTTTGGGAGCGAGAGCGAAGACCTCTTCCTCGGTGTTCGCATTGACAAGCTCTGATCCATCGACGCCGCCAAGTCTCATTATAACCTTATTATATGATCCATGGTAATCGTAATCCATCCGCCTTTTACTCTAGTAGTTGGTACTGGTATGGTAGTACTAGCAGAAAATGTCAGGTCATGAACTGCTAGGCACGCGATGCATGTCTTTTGGGTTGCATTTTCGAATGGAAGCAGTGATCAACAATTCTTATGTCGTGTCTGATCAAGATTAATTACAATGTTCCCTCGCAAAAAAGGATTGGTGTGTTGCTTTTGTGTCTGTGTTGAAGGTTGTGAGTGTTTTTCTCAATCAATGTGTTTACACAGGTCCATCCTGGATGGGTAGAAATTATATGTTCTGCCTATGTATCTTTGTTGATCAACAAGATGATTAGTATTCCAGAAAAAAATAAACAAGATGATTTACAGTAGAGTAGATCTAATCTATGAAGAGCCAGCTTACAAGTTGATAGCTCCCGATGCGAAAATGCTAGATTGACGGGTCTTTACGGGACTAAAACGGGGTTGATTCGTCTAATCAAACTAGCCCCCCTGATTTTCAGGAGGGGTGGGCCCCTTCCCACCCCTTAAACCCAATCTTAATCCGCCATGTTTGCTACCCCGTGAAGTCAAAAATTCTCCCCGTGAATGTAGCATTACCGCTCCCGATGTCATGGCACACTCAGTCTGTCTATGTGTGCCAGTGAACATGGGGTCATCGCCCCTAGGAGACACTATCTTTGGTTGAGGTGGTCCAAATACATCCACTCAACG